ACATGTCTCAGTGATGGACGTTGCGGAGCCACCGCCGAAATTTTAAATGTGCAACCTTCATTCGACTTGTGGAATGCGCAGAAATATCTACAAAAGTGTGTTTGACCACTGTTGATTTTGAAGGTCAGAGACGAACACATTGAGAGTTGCCATCAACTCACACGCGACCAACCTCCTCTTGATTCCGACATGCATGGCTGTATCGACACAACAGTCCTTGATATTGGAGTCCGACGGTGTATACTTCCCAACGGTCTAGGATGATGCTCCAATTTTGTCAAGATGATGGTTGAAGGCGTTGGGAACCTGAACATGTCGGCTGTACTGCTTGGTGCGTCCTGGGTTGCTACCACCGGCCAGAAAGGCTCATCGATATCAACCCTTCTCGTTCCAACTTCGATCCCCGTCGTCAGTACACGAAATAGCCTTGACTCTGAGTTCTCTTTTGGATAATGTTCCGTGCAGCCACAATCACTGGGTTATGCGGAGGGTGGGCAGAGCACGGATCTCGTCGCATTCGCCCTTAATTTGTTGCTGCTAATCGTCAGCTTCCAGGATGACAAGATGTGTGCTTATCCACGATATCCTGGAGGCTAGGCAAACGCGCCTGTAGTAGAGAACACGGCGTCAGATTCAAACCATTCGCCATTGGATTACCCTGCTGCTTGATATTGTAATGTAGATACTCGTATCCGCCTTCGACGTTCCTCGTCCCCGGTAGCACTGCAAATTCGGAAGCATAACGGCAGCAACAGCAGTCCAACTACGATGGCGTTTCGATTCAAACGTAAACACCACCAAGAAAGCACGAACCTTCATCCCATCGCAGAGATTCAGGACAGACGGCACAAGGTACGTTATCAAACGGTATCGCATAGCCGTATCGATGTAGGTGGGGTATGACTTCAAGAGGCATGAAGGATATCGAGACGTTGGCTGCGATATGATCAGGATGATCGAACAACCTGCGGAGAGAGGAGACGAACCTATGGTCCACAAGTTCATGAAGATCGGCAAGAAGCGCGGCGTCAGGAGAGTAATCATAGCCTCTAGCGCTAAGCCCACTCAAAATATCCACAAAGTTAATCATTCAGAACACAAGGGAGCCTGAGGACAGAATGAGGGGCTACACCATACCGATGAACGTAATCGCAGACGCCACAGGGATGTCGAGCGCCACCTGGTTGTCGAGCCCATTGCGTTTTCAAGTACACATGCTACTGAGCGATATCCAGTGAACGGAGGGAACAGAACCGTAGAGCGAGGATTGGAAAATGACGCGTCAAAATTGGGCGGGACTGGTCTGGGGGCAGAACGAAACCTGATACCAAGGATATGGAGAGTCTCGGGTGATTGACTGCATAGCCAAGTCAATCACGGTACCGGTAGAGACGACTTCTGAGCCTGGCGATAGCCTTGCCCGGAGCCGAATGTGAAAGAGGATTTGTGCATTCTGGGCGGAAATGCCGAGGGAATGAGGAACGCGGAAATCCAAGGATGAGGTGTAGTTGCCTTTCGCCCCCGTTTCACTCCATTGGAGGGGCGTAACCTGGGCATAACGAAAAGAGCGACCACTCGACGGCCATCGCTGACAGTAACCGAAAACCTTGCTGCGTACGCCGCTTTCGCGGGTCACTGCTGGTGGAGATGCGTTAGGGGGGAAATGGTGCACCGACGCTGCGGGTCTAGCCGTGAGCCCGCGGGCCGCCGCTGCCTTTCAGAGCAATGTGTAGCATGGTCGCCTGCCACTACTGCCTGATGCGTTCTAATGGCATCGAAATGGTAAAAGGCCGGTTGGTTTGGCTCCGCGTATTCGGTGCTCTTGGTAGACCTCTATTGTCTGTCGAGGTCCGTCGTTGAGACCTGGTGGAGCAAGGCAAAGGAAGGCGACCCACCCAACTCCGACGACATGCCCAACCTCAACCGTTCAATGCTTTTTGGCAACCTTTCGTTGTCTTCCTTGTTTCCTACTTTCGACAGGTACAAATATGATAATGGCGCCTTAAAAACGCGCATCGAGACGCATGCGCCACTCGGGTTACGATTACATGATTATTCCTCAAAAACTACTGATTTGACTTCGCTTTCCCCGATTACAATCCTTGGAGCTGGAGCTTGGAGACTCGGAGTCGCTTTCCCATGCTCTGCGCGGAACAGCTTGTAGTAGAAGAAAAAACAGAAACAGATGACCTCGAGTCTTTTATACCCGCGCTGATGGTCACTATCCTCTTTTATTATTAAATGGCGTCCCCGCAACGCACATCGTCCCCACACAGCCCACTGGCCAACACGGAAACTTCTTTGGGAACCAGGTTCAAATTGCATCTGTCACTGGTGTTGAATTGGCAAACACCGTCGGGATGTATCGACAGATTAGCTGTGGGTCAAGTATCTCCCCAAGGGCTATAACTCGACGAAAGGCCCTCACCTCCCTTGCAAATCGATCTCCATATCCCGACCACCCGTCAGCTTTGTTCGCCGCCCAGAACGGCGGTCCCGACCCCAAACGAGGGTGCCAAAAATGATGGTGGCGTTTTCGATATTCAAAAACAGCAGTTTCGTCTCCTGTTTTGAGGCTTCCGCACCTCGTGCTAAGCCATAGTACTTATAAAGTGCCTTGGCGGAAAGAACTCGAGGCTCCCATCACCCATCATGTCCACCATTGACGTCGGTTTCAAGACCGAGAAGCCGTACGTCCCAGGCGCTTCTGGCGCTCTTTACGCTGGCTGACACTTGCGAATGTAGGTTCATTCCTCTCGAGGTGACCCGGGGTGACCTTGTCCTTGGGTCTATTGCGTTCGGTTTCTATGTACGTCGCGCGCCTTGTCGTGTACGAGCATCTGACGATTGTGTAACAGTTCGGATTTGCGATTCAAGTAACATGGTGCGCGATCAGGGAGACCAGGCGCGTGTCGCGGGTAAGCACCCTACGGCAACACTATTCGACGATCTTGTGCTTCCTTATACGCAGTTATCGGCATTCGTCGTGATGCTCTGGCTGGAAATTAGCGCGAACACAACTTACGCTGTACGTTCGGAATGAAATTCTACACGACTTGATTCCTTAATTCCTTCCAGGTCCTGTCATTTCTCTACATGTGAGTTTCGACCGCACTCGATTCACAGTATTATATCTCAATCCACGCTTCTAGGATTAAGCATATTCCTCCAGGCTTGCCCTTATTCTTGGTTTGCATCATCTGCTGGATCGTGCAGGTGCAATGTTTGATGCTTATCATCGTAAATCGACTATGTATCCTGTGGATGAAGCCACGACAGAAGGTATGCTCTTATAACCTTCCTCTGGCCCTCCTGGTCTCATTAAACATCAGCTCATCCTCAAAGTTTCTGTCGCCACTATCGTGTCGCTCATTTCTATTTCGACCGCCTGTATCTGTGCGTTCTGTTCATTCGGCCACGGAAACGCTTCGCTAATCGTCATGCACTATAGGGATACCAGCACAGTTACAGATCAACGAGGAGTACATCAATGTATGCAGCCCATCTAACCGTTTATTCAACTTTCTCACTCTCTGCTTTTAGTTGAACAAGTGGTACGACAGGTTCGAGAAGTCGGTCTACCTCGGTAAGCATCTCTTCGTTGGAATCATTTACTCGCTTACAACCCTTAACCCTCATAGTCCTGGATCTGGTCCTCAATATGCTCTTCATCCGCTTGGTTAAAGGCCGACTCGTCGACCACGGCCTGAAGAAGTACGACAAAGTCATGAAGTGCGTCCCCCAACCTCTCTCCTCCCAACCCACTCTCCCTCAACGCCTGCGCCAGATTCAACCAAAACATCATCATCATCTCAATCGCCATGGACGCGCTCCTCATCGGCGTCACGGCCCTCCCAAATCCATTCTCCTATACCCAGGTATATATTATTATTATTCGTCCGACTGGAGACGAGTTTCTAAACTGTCCAAAACACCACAGTTCCACCCGATAACGTACATTGTAAAGCTGAACATCGAGATGTCCATGTCGCGGTTGCTCATCAAGGTCGCGCGGTCCACCGGCATCAACGTGTACAACGAGGACAAGGAGCATATGACGCGTACGAGCTACAGCCGCAGCAGAGACCGCGACGCGCAGCGAACGACCGGCGCCGCTGTGTACGTTTCCCTTCAACTACATACACCCTTACCCAAAATCTAATCTAATTTGGACGTGAACAGGGCGGTGCATATCGACACGCACATATACACACACGGCGGGGATGCGGATGAGTTTGGTAGGTGAACATAACCCCTACTTTCGGTTGCTCACTATCTAAATAGATACGGGCCGCCGAGAAGTGAATTTGAAGCACACCATTCAGGAAGAATCCGAGCATTCCCAGTCGAGCGCCGATGTTAAGAATGTAAACCTAGCTCGGGCGCTGTGAATGTTGATTTGTTGTTTTTCCTGCGCATGTATCCAGATGGACATTGAATAACGTCACATTGCTTTCTGATGTTGGGCTTACAGTGTCACCAATTGGAGTATACCCTGTGTGTATCGAATTTTGACCGGTATCAATATGGTACTTATTGTAACTACATAGCTGAGGTACAAGTTCCAAAATTGGCACATGATGACAATCGCAGTTTGGAGAATCCGAGAACCATGCGGCAGCATCGGAAACGTTGCAAAAGTTTTTAAACCATTGGCCAATGGCGACAGTTCCGTTTTCTCCACATCCCAAACTAGGATGGTGAAGTTAACCTTAGGTTCTGATACACTTCGGATTTACTGCAGTTAGTAACGGTATTGAAACCATCGAGGGAGGTTTTGATACCGGCACGTGACTACTGCACGTGTCGGCGCGCTGACGGGGTGGCGGGACAAGGGCACATCAGTGCGGTATCGAAACCGTTACTAACGGTTTCAAAACCTGAGCTTCCTGGCGGTCGATACGGGTCGGTTTTGATACCGTTACTAACACCCCCGGGGGTTTACTGCGCCATCCTATACAAAACAATGATTTAAAATTTTTTGAACAGAAAATGTGTGATTCCCTCTAGCCGACTTGAACGACTGACCTCGTCATTACATACGCGATATGGAATTTCAGTACTAGTGACGCGCTCTACCACTGAGCTAAGAGGGATACATTTTATTTTCAATAGACTATAATCATTGCCTTCATGCAGGCTGATTGTCACCAAATTCACCAAATTCAACTCATTGTTATCAAGCAATTTTGATGACTTCACTTACGACGTGGTATGGTCCTTACATCATTTGAACCCTCATCTTGAGATAGGACAACAGAGTTACAGGATACAAAAAGTTTACATGATACACAATGGGTATAGGAAATGAAACCATGGCCGCAGCGTCATGAGCGCGCGAAAAATAGACGAAGGGCATGGATAGCTAGCGCCTAGCGTGATGCCTTATCCTCGCCTGTCGCTCAGCTTCAGCCCGCTGGGCTTGTGCCAGTTGCTCCGCAACTCTTTGCCTTTCAAGCATAACACGTGCAGAGCGAATCCCATTCTTTGCGATGAAAGCATCATCGTTAGAGATCGCTATTGCTGAAAACGAATGACTAACCTCCACATATTGCTCGAGAGTCTCGATTTCCAATTTGCACTGGGCGAAAGTGGCTATATCAAAATTGATATTCGCTATCAAGTCCTCTTCAGCGTAGCGTGCATCTTGTGACGGATACATCCTACACCAGCGGTCGACACGTTCCCGATAGCTAGTACACACTGTCAGCTTTGAGTGAAAGAGATCGAGGTATGGTTTACTTTGCGATCGGCGTCGAATGCAGCTTTACAGCGTCGAGAGGCAAACCTTGTTCACGGGCACGTTTGATGCCGGTCAAGAGATCGCCTGCTCTCTGGTAGAACTGCTCATAAGCCTCCATCGGAGGAGACGGAAAATATATTGGGCTGGGGTGGGCCATTGGAAGAGGGAAAGGGCGCGTAGTGGGTAAACTGCGCTTTGACTCAGGACAAGCGGACTTTTATACACAGCCGTGCAGGATTCACACACGCCTGTTGACAACGGCCAGTGCATTATATCCTGGGAGAACAAGAAGGATAACAAAAGCGCCCATCAAAGATCAGCGTGGCGCAGAACAAGCGATTTCTTGTTCGGGCACAACACCTTGATATCCTGGCACACAGTATGACGCGACAATGCCATCTACAATCAGTAGCGCAGAGTTTTCAAAGAAAAATTGTCGTAGACTGACTGTGAAAGGCAACACACAAGAAATAAGCGCCTCGGTGATCGTTGTTAGAATCTGCAACGTATGGGGTTTTCCGACGTATGTCGCTATTTTGGGACATGCACGAAATCGATGGGCGCTTGCAAAACAGTCGTCAGCTGCAGATCCCGGTGGCATCTTCAAAGTAAACCATGTCCTCGAATTGTAATTGCACGCCTATACACACCGGTCCTGAATAGCATGGATAGATTGATCGCTTTCCCAGTGATTACTTGAACGACTTCAGGCTCTGGGGGATGAATTCAGGCGGACAAAGATGCTTGTCGCGAGACGGACAATTTTCCGGCGAGTTGTTCAGGACACGGCTGCCTTGTCTGGCTTCGACAAACTGGCATCGCTTGGTGGTCAACGTCCAGTTTCGATTACTGTCGTACTCGGGCTGATCAAAATGTGTGATGGTTTGCGTCCAAGAGGGTGTAGGCTCTCACGCGACGAAATTGATCGCGATCGCCGCCGACAGCGCCTGACCTTCGACGATCATCTCGTCTGTTGAGGTACGATAAAAATGGCAAGTCCTGTTACAGAAGGAAAGGTCCAACTAGAAGGCTCGCCCAAAATATCTCGTTCACAACGTTAAGATTGCGGAACTTGCCCGATCGCTGCCTAGTCGTTGGTCTGAATGCCGATTTCTCTCTCGTAAAACACCGCGGCTTCGATGTCAATCACTTCCACATTCTGCGCATGCTTTGCTTTATCCTTCACACAATCCGTGGGATGCCATCAACTTCTACAGTGCTGTCGTGACTTAGGGCTGTCGAATTAACAGTACTGTGGAATTCTGCGTCCTCTTCTGCTGTGATGTGCTGTAACTCTCAACTCACACCTTACCAGCTACGCTCACGAGCATGCCTACACTCTCCGAGAAGCTTGGATACTCTACGGACGACGTTGTGTACGAGCTGGACATTCTATTCCAATCTCAATTGCTTGGGATCTTCGCTCATGGAATCTACACCGCAGTCTATATTATGGCGCTTTACCAGATCTGTACGTCGACGCTTTTCTTCCCCCATGAAGCTTGTGGCTAATTAATCCGTATTGCAGCGATGCAAAAATCCTATCCAATGTCGCGTCGCATTACCTTTGTGTTGATCATCACCATTATGTGGGCCCTAGCCTCGCTCGTCTTCGGGATCAACTGGAGACTGCTGGACATCACTTACGTCGTGTATGCGGACACGAGAGAAAGTACATTCGACGCAATGATGACTGGTGCAGGCTTTTTAGATCGCCGTCACGTTCTCATCATAAGCTCTGTCGCGGAAATCGTCAATATTTTACTCGCCGAGTCCATCATTGTGCGTAGCATTATCCCCGAGTATCCCCCTTAGATTGATTAGCCAAAGATTCGGAGATGCTGGACAGTTTACGCGTGCAACTGGAAAGTGATTGCCCTTCCTTGCCTAACGTTTACGGTTGAGATGAGTACGTGTTTTCGTGAAGTTTAGCATGCATGTTTTGATCAAAACGGATCCTCAGTCAGCATTTTCGTTCGCTTCGCTTCTCATCTTTCCGAGCTACCCCATATTAATACCCCCAACACCCACAAGATGCAATGGGGAGTGGTTCATTATTCAATGACACTCTTCACAAACTTGTTCTGCACCTCCGCCATCATCTTCCGCATCATCCGCCTGACTGGTCTATCAAGAGCTTTCCGGACTTATCATGGTATCATCGAAATCCTCTCCGAGTCTGCCCTCCTGTATACCGTCATATATACTGTATACATTGGGATGTATATACACGACACCTCCAGTGGCGCAGAGTTTGCGCAGTGCTATTCATATCCTGCAACGTTACTCGGACCGATTACTGTAAGTCCCCTACCAGTGTTTCGTCTTTCAGCCGAAGTAGTGAGATTCTCTAGGGAATCGCGCCCGCACTCATTATCGCGCGTGTAGCTGCGGGCCATTCGCGGCCAAATGACTCGTGGATGCAGAGCGTATCCCGCGATACAGCATCAATGCACTTCCAAGTGCAACGTCCTCATTCGTCGTGGACAGAGTCTTCCATGGATATCGACTTGGAGCGCCCTGCCCCTTCCGTGTCACCAATCTCGCCGCATTTCGTACTATATCAGGAGCAAACATGTTCACAGTCAATAAAGTACTGATTATTGAAGGAGGGCGTCATGGTTTTTGAGCATTATCTTTGAAGAGCTCGTAAGGAAGATGCTAGTGTGAGCCGAACTTTTCCGTTCTCGCCAGTCGCGGTTGGCGCACTGAGCGGCCATTCATGCCATCCGACATGGTTGCCGGCTGCATTGGCATGTCGGACGGGTTAACTTACATGACAATAATTTACAGTTCAATCCGGTCTCCGACCATTCTCACCAGAGTCACCACCACAATATCTTGTAGGTTTCAATCAATTATGTGATACGGACACGCGTAGCACGGAGGTTATAGTGTACACAGGCTTCGAATATACACCTTATCTGAAGACCACCATCATCGTGTCTGAGCGACTAGCCGAGTCCTTGTACCTACGATCTGGTGTCCTTCAACAAGAACAGTCGCCACACCATTTGCTATAGTGAAGTACAGAACATGAGGTTTGTATCGAGACATTCATTCCCTGACAAGGATGCCTGAATACTTACTGCTTCGGAAAGGTCTCACCGGCAAGAGATGCGGATTGAGCTTGATTTCAAGTTAAGCGCCGAGGTGCACCAATTGGAATTGGAGAGGATATGTTATGACTATTACGCTGATCCACCTCATATAACCCTTCTCCTCGGAACATACAATTTACGACAGAGTGGCATCTTGGAGGACATTCTGCAAAAAGCATGTCATGCAAAATCATCTTGGAGTTTCGAATTGCTGAGGAGCCCACGGGTATACGAGAATAAAAGAGGCGTTTATCTCCCGGTGAACCCCAGGCTTGGTTCTAAGGATATGTTCAAGCTGCGGAAGAGCCTTCTGTCATCGTTCAAGTACGTACGTCAATTGAATTCTTTGGGAAGTCAACTTACATGAAGGACAGAGCTAACACAACGTTCACCTTGCGCGATACGCTCGCTTCTCAATGCGATTGGGAACCACACGTCACAGTGTATCGCAGAGTGGGGCGAGATAGAGACTCGCTTTCAGCTGCGCGTGCGGCGAAGGAAATTAGATGGGACTTGGAGTGGCTGGACTCCTTGGTAGGAGACGCATACGGTGTTTCGCTTTGGCACGATGACATGCGCCAAAGGCAATTCTTGTTCTCGGACAACATTAAATGAAGCGTCGGGTACCAATGGTCCTTTAAGGGCGCAAGTGGCCCATGAAATTTGAATCGAGTTGGTAGGTGGAAAATCTCTTCGATGATTGGTCTCTGCTGATACATATCCAAGTCAAATACCTTATACTAGTAGTACATTCATGAAAACAGATCGAAGCAAAAATGAACGATGGTCATTATCATGTCGTTGCTGGGTCGACTTTCAAAACGACCTTTCCTCGAGCCCTCCTGGACATGATACGTTCGTACGCAGCCAGCGCGTCGTCAAAGCCATAAACCGAATCGACTATAGGCTTAAGCTTTCCTTCCTCCACGAGCTGCACCAGCTGCTTGAAATCGGAAGGGTTATGTTTGACGAGGATAATCCTAGCCGAAGTCAATCGAGACTCATTCAATGTTCATAACAACACACTTATACGTCCGCGGGATACCTCCAAGCCAAGCTGGCCAGCTGATGGCGAAGGCAGTCTTGATGATAGGCACGAATGGACGGAGACCCTGAACCGGTCCAGAGGAGACGAATACACCTCCGGGTGCGAGGTACGCCGCGCAATGAGTAAACAGTGCGGGATCCGTTAGCCCCACTAAATTCGAGAAATATCACTGTCAGCAAACATTGAATGCAGAACCACCCGAAG